TTTTTTTTCCTAAAGACACCTGGAGTTGGCAAAAATAATGGTGATTTAGTTACACTATAATGATCTTCATATCAGTATACATTGCATAAGCCTGCAACAATGCCAATGTACCCTATTTTTGGCAGGTCCTATCCTATCAACATAATCCCTGAAACCAAGAGGCTGCACTCATCTGAACATGCACATATCATAGTGTTCTGCTGGGGCCAATTCCTACCGCATACAAAATCCAAGGCACTCATTCACTAAACACCAAGTTCAAAGCTCACAGAATATAATCATTTTTTGTTGACTGATTTAGTATATCATCATACATTGCATAAGCCTGCCACAACGCCAACATACCCCATTTTTGGCATATGTTTTATAAGTTTACCTCCATCATTTCATCAACATACACTAATATGTTTTAAGCCCTAATATGCCCTAATGCAGACCAAACAATGTGATAATAATAAGAGGTACTTCTACTAATCAGGTTGTACTACCTGTAATCACATTACCCCTGGCAAGGTGTTTCATCACCCACACACAGAGAAGCAATTCTACATGCATCGGATTACTGGAACAACAAAACAAGACATCCAATGACCTGCGTGTAAGATTCAGCAGACAACATTACTCAATCTGGGGTGCTCTACGAATTGGTGAGTCAAACATCCCTTGAACTTTATGTAATTTATGAGTACATCCAAGGTAGGGACAGGGATCGTGAATTACTTTGCAGAGAAACTTAAAGGAAACTTAAAAAACACCTACAATGCTTTCTAATCTAGTCAAATGCCGAGCTGTTGAGCTCTGATGATTATTTTTCTAAAAATGAGTACTGCCCTTTTATGATCCCTTCTATTATCCCTAAAGTCACCCAGACCATTTCATCTCAATGAAATGGTCTGGCTGCAGCGATCTTGTTCTTTTAACCCTACAAAGTGAATCATTGTACCTTTTTAAAAACAGCTATGTTTTAATTGCAGGGTTAAGTCCAACTCGAGTGGCTGTCGGTAAGAAATGATTGAGTATGAATAAATCTTGTTCACGTAATGCGGAAGCTCCATAGCATTGATTGAATGCACTAGTGGAACTCGCCAATGCTCCTCTGTTTATTGGTTATAGTTTGTATATTTTTTGATTTTAGCATACACACAATCGATTTTATCATTACGATTTCAACCTCTTGGTGTATTTAACTTTTCTCTGTGATGTCACTCATTCAACCTTTTCCTCCTGGTGTTTCACTCTCTCTATGGTGTTGGTGTGTCTTTTTAAGAAGTGTTGTTTGCTATTCACTAGTTTTGAGTTTAGTTTTTTTGTTAATATACTGCATTAACCCCCTGAGTGCACTTCTTCATGGTTGTATATTTGAATCGGCTGGAGCCAAGCACTGGGGCAGTAAACATAGGGAAGACTGGAGTGCATAGTTTTAATGTTGTGGCTGATCAGCCTATAAGGGGTGGGATATATTAGGCAGCAAGTGATCAGTCAGTCCTTAAATTTCATGTGTTGGAAGCAGGAACAATGGGCAAGCAAAAAGATCTGAGTGGCTTTGACAAGTACCAAATAGTGCTAGCTAGACAACTGGACTAGAGCATCTACAAAATGGCCAAACCTGAGGGGTGTTCCAGTTACGCAGTGGTAAGTATACAAAGACAAAAAGAGGTAAAACATGTAGTGTAGCACTTCAATAAAAACAGTAGAAAACCAAAAACTACACTCTTTGTGTGCATAACTATCCACCTTATTATTATTATTGGTTATTATTTATATAGCGCCAGCTTATTCCACAGCGCTTTACAATAAAAGGGGGATTTACCAAATGAGACAATAACAAAATGTAACAGGAACAATAGGAAGTTTAGGACCCTGCGTACAAATTCATATAAAGTGTCTGGCATATATATATATATATATATCAATAATTTTGTGTAAATAAAGTGCAAAACACAGCAAACCTTACACACAGTAAATTATTAGCATATGCATGCCAATTGCCTATCAGTGCCATCTATAAAGTGCCAGTGCAAAGAATACCAATGCAAAATATAATAAATAAAATATTAGTGATATGTGTGCAATACTTAGCAGCCCATTGATTCCACAAGAATTAGAACCTCAAAGATAAAAATGACATACAATAGTGCAAACTGTTATCGCAAAAGTATATACAGCACCAAAAAAGACCTCTCGTGGATGCCCACTCAGATGTACTACAGTCTAAACTTCAGCCCTATTCGGTAATCTTGGAGTCTTTTGTGGGTGACTCTTTGGATGGTATTAGTATATTCCTCAAAAATAAAAGCAGAAAAACAAGTATAACGTGCAGTATGTTTGGTGATCAAATGAATGGTAAAACATATAGAAAACCGCCAACGTGTTCCAGAGCATCAAATGAGTTTCCTCTTGATCGCAGTACAGCTTTTTGGTGAGAGATGTCCCCCAAGATGGTAAGATTAAGAGAGTGCTCCAGTAAGGCTTAATATATAAATATATATATATATATAAATATATATATATATATATAGAAACGAGGTCCTTGCACACAGTCTAAAATATTCAAAGTGCCGGGTGCCAGCAAGCAAACTTCAAGAATTTATTAGGTGTGCGTTAAAATAGATCGACGTTTCAGTCCCACATTTGGACTTTCTTCAGGATCAAACATATATATATATATATATATATATATATATAAAAATAAAAATTAATAATAACTAAATAAAACAAAGTGCATCTTTCAAATGCACTTTGAAGACCATTTAACGATCAAATTGTGTCAGTGCTCTATTCCCTTTTGCATTTATATATTTTTATTTGCGATTAGTTTTTTTAACCTGTGCTGTTTGAAGTTTTTTGTTGCTGTTTTATTCAATAAAAATTGTGGAAACAATTTGCTGTGTATTGGGCTGCGTAGCCGCAGACTGGCCAAGGTGCCCATGATGACCCTATATACTCATAGCGCTTTCAATAGGGATGGAGCATCAGGAGTGGACCATAAAAAGAAGGTTGACTGGTCTAATGAATCAAATTTTATTTCCGATCAGGTTGATGATCGGATACATGGGCATCATTTACCTAGTGAAGATATAGCACCAGGATGCACTATGGGAAGAAGGCAGGTTGGTAGAGGCAGTGTCATGCTCTGAACTATGTTCTGCTGGGAATCTTGGGTTCTGGCATTCATATAGATGATGCTGTGACACATACTACCTATCTAGAGAGTTGCAGACCACATACATAGCAATGGTGTCCCATGTTGGCAGTGGCCTCTTTCAGCAGAATAATCCTACCACACTGTTAAAATTTCCTCTGCTGGCCTGACTTCTTCTCATAGTGGATCATGAGTAAAAACAAGGGTTATAGGCACTCTCTATAGTGCAATAAATATGTGGGGGCTGCTGTATACAAGACCTTGTGTGATAGTTAAACAGAAAAAGGATATGGCATATACTGCGCCCAGAATCATACGTACAATAAGGTTTACTACACCATACCATCTGAAGTTTTATGTACGTATGATTTTGGGCGCAGTATACGCCATATCCTCTTTCCATAGTGGATCATGCTACCAAAAAATGTTCAGGAATAGTTTAAGGAACGTGAAAAAGAGTTAACAGTGTTGCCTTGGCCCCTAAATTTCACAGATCTCAATCTGTGGTATGTGCTGGAACAATAATTCTGATTTATGGAGGCCACTCATCAAAGCTTGCAGGACTTAAAGGATCTACTGCTTATCTTGATGGCAGATATCAAAGATATCATATCATTCAAAGTTCTTGTGCCTTGACGCTTCAGAGCTGTTTTGGCAGCATGAAGGGGACCTATATGATATTAGGCAGGTGATTTTAATGTTGTGACTGATCAGTGCATATATCACACGAATTTACCCTCATATCTCAAGTTGGACTTTGTGAAGTCCTTCTTGGGCATAGAACTTCAAAAAATCTACTATCCTAGAGTTGCCAGCTTAACATGCAAAATATGTACAGACAGGCATTGGGTTTCAGACTTCACACTACATTTCTGAAGATACCCTTAGCAGTGGACACTGTTATAAACACAGCATTTACTTTTTTAAACCAAAGCATGGGCACTCCAGATGCTGTGGACTACATCTTCCCTGATGTTTTGCCAGCATTATGGCTAAAAAGAGCATTTTGGGACATTGAGACCTTATTTCTGTAGTTTCAAAGTTTGCTTACTGCTCTAGACATATCTGAGGCTCACACAGAGCATCAGCTTTCTCTATTAATAAAATTAATAAAAAAAATTAATTTAAAAAAAAGAGTCCCCCTGCAGCCCAATAATACTGATTAGGCGCCTGATGAGTATGCTCCATCTCCATCCTTTACCTATGTAAATGGGTTTAGGGGAATAAGAATCTGGGCTGACTATACAAATATCTGATCTTATACTTTGCATGACACATGTTTTCTGGTGAGGGCAAAATGACATTGCTAACAATGGCCTTGATTAAATATTGCTGGATTATTTCATTTTTGGATAAACTGTTAAAATTATTTCATATTATGAAAAATATATATATTATGTATTGCATTATAGTGATATTGTCATCTATTTTTATACATGATATATTTTGATATATGATACATATGATATTTTTATTTATACTTTAATGATACATTAAATGGAGTTGAGTTAGGGATAACAAATAAAGGGACACTGTAGGCATCCAAACCACTTCAGCTCATTGTGTCCCTATTGCACTTAGTGCTGCAATGTTAAACATTGCAGTTCCAGAGAACTGCAAGGTTTACATTGCAGCTCTAAGTCTGCCCTCAGTGACTGTCTACCAGACTGCCACTAGAGGACTTCCTGGATTAAAACAGACCAGTTTTGTATCTGATGCATGACGTCCTCACGCTCTGCATGAGGATACCCAACGTCAGATTTTTCCCCATAGGAAAGCACTGATTCAATGCTTTCCTATCGGGAGGTCTAATGCGCATGTAGCATTTGCCATGAATGCACATTAGAGCCCACTCGTCGCGGGATGTTGTAGGGGGTGGAGCGTCAGCGATGGGATAAGGTAACTTCATTCACCGGGAGGGTGGGCGCAAGGGAGGCAGAGGGAGCTATAGCGCCAGGAATACAACTGTGTATTCCTGGCACTATAGTATCCCTTTAAATGGAATGGACTTGGGAACAATTATAGATGAAATCCTAAGCAATAGTATACAATGCTGGCCAGCTATTGCAAAACCTAGTTGCCTGCTTTCATGTATGAAAAGGGACATTGATTCACATGATCAAAATATATTTTTGCCCCTTTGTAAATCAATAATAAGACCCCGTCTTGAATATGTAGGGCAATTTTGAGTACCAGTTTTAAAGAAGCATGTTGCAGAACTAGTAAGAGGCAGAGGCGAGCTACAAAATTAGTAAAGTGGGATGGAAAATGTAATTATGAGGAAAGTCTTGAAAAACTGAATTTGTTTTCGTTAGAAAAAAGGCACCTTAGAGGTGTATACAAATATATACAGTCTCAGTACAAACCGCTATGTGATATATGTTTATTAGAAAGAATGTACAACAGGTAAGAAGTCACATAATGAGACTGGAGGAAAGACATTTTCACATACAACAAAGGAATGGATTATCTACAGTAAGAACAGTAAAGATGTGGAATCCTCTGCCTAAAGAGGTTATCTCTCTTATTCTATAGACATTTTTAAAAACAAGGCTTGGATGCTCTTCTGCAGCAACATAATATTTAAGAATATAATTGATATGTATGTAAACAGGTTGTTGATCCAAGGAGATATCTAAATGGCATTATGGCATCAAGAAGGAATGTTTTCCCTTTTTGTGGCATAATAGGAATTGGCTACAATTGGCTACATTTAAATTGCCTTCTTTTATTATTATTAATATTTATAAAGCGCCAACAAATTCCGGAGCGATGTACAATGGGTGGACTAACAGACACGTATTTGTAGCCAGACAAGTTGGACGCACATGAACAGAGGGATTGAGGGCCCTGCTCAATGAGCTTACATGCTAGAGGGAGTGGTAGTGACACAAAAGCTAAGGATAAGGTAGAAAAGTAGGTTGCTAGGATAGTATTAATTGATGGCTTAATGTTTTGTTTTGATGAGAGTTGCAGGAGAGGAATCACAGTGCGGGAGGGAAAATTGTTCACAGTTTAATTGATATGCTTTTCTAAAGAAGTAAGTTTTCAAAGATTGTTTGAAGGAGTGGAGATTGGGTGAAAGTCTAACAGAGAGGGGAAGGGTGTTTACAGGTAGCCAATGTAGGGACTGACAATGGAGGGAGGCGTGGGAGGTGCGGGGGGACAGGAAGAGGAGCCTCGCCACCGCATTCATTATAGACTGTAACGTGGGAAGTTGGGAACACGTAAGACCACTGAGAAGCGGTTGACAGTAGTCAAGGTGAGAGAGGACAGGGCATGGTCATGCACCTTAGCCGTATTAGGTGTTAAATAGGGGTGGATATGCCCAATGTTTTTGAGATGGAAGTTGCAGGATTTGGTGATTAATTGGACATTATGGGTGAAGGAGGGGTCGAGAGTCACAGAGAACACCTAGGCAGCGAGCCTGAGAGGTAAAGTGGATGGTAGCGCCATTGACTTGGAGGGAAACAGACAAGGATGTTTGGATACAACATCATAAAAACTAGATTTTATTTTTTTAAACTTAGATAACAATGTACTCACAACTATGTAATATGTTGAAAAAAAAATCATTTTAAAAGCATATCCAACACTAACCATTTTGAAACCTTATCCAACAATATTAAAATCGAGGCCAATACCAGCTGCTGAGGTTAGGCACATACTTTAAAATAAAGTTGCAATCTTCTTAAAAACTTTCAGCTGCAAGTCAAACACTTTTTAATATACAAATAAATTACAGTTAGGATGGTTTAGAAAGATTCAAAGAAGAGGGAAGTAGACATTTGTATGTTGTTGTTTTTTTATTTACAATTCAGAAAATAATACAAATAAAATAATATACACATTGAAAACAGGTGACAATACTGTTTGCAGTAAACTATTTGTCATTGTGTTACCTACTGTACATAATCATTGTCCCCATTCTAAACACACACCTCTGTCACACAATTAAAAAGTACAGTGGCAAGTAACGAGCTGTAACTGTGCAAAAATATTTTCAAAAAGAATACAAAATACAAACTGACAGGAACAAAGTGGCTGTTATTTTTAGTTTTCAATTAATATATCTACTAAAATATAAATCTGAAACTATTTACAGAGTACTCAATTATCAAATCAAAGTCCCTGTGTGCATATTATAAGAGAAAAAAAAACAAGTAATTGGGTTGTTGTACAAACTTTAATGTGATCACACCAAACAAAGTCATTTTTGTGAGTTAATGTGAATTTATATTAGTTTTTACATTTGTTGTGTGGCCAGATTTACAAAGACATTGAATTTAAGCAATTTTTTCATTTTTTTTTTAAGTGTAGACATGTATGGGAATAGGCATCAACACCACTTGTACATGATTGACTTAAAAAATATCCATTTCAAAATGGTAAGAAAAACTGCTTTGGTGCTTCATTGCAGTGCAGTGAACTGTAACCCCCACCACTCTCAGCAATGCTTTGCCTGAGTTACAGTGTCTAGCACAGTGATGGCTAACCTTGACACCATAAACTGTTTCTGGACTATATTTCCCATGATGCTCAGCAAGCTTTTAGACCCTACAAACTAGCTGAGCATCATGGGAAATGTAGTCCAGAAACAATTTATGGTGTCAAGGTTAGCCATCACTGGTCTAGCATCTTAAGTTGATGTGATCTCTAAACTTTAACACTAGTTCTGACATTTCAATCAATGCGTATCAAGCACTCTTATTAATGCAGCTAAAATATTTCTCTAAAATTAAAATGGAACATTTTTACAGAAACCAGTGGATACCTTTTAGCTTTTAGGATACACAGCCCCATTATGGAAGTTAGTGAATGAAGACAACTAGTGTGAGCACAACTGCTGTATATTTTGTACACTTTAAAATTGTGTATTTCAGAACTGAAATCAATAGGTGCTGGTTTAATTGTGTCCAATATAGCCCTTGAATGTGAATTTATTATTAGATTGGTTCACTCTAGAGATAAGTGAGAGTATTTTCACTAAAGAGAAATCCTGAGAGCTTTCTGTCTGTTTAACACCAAGAAACTAGAAAAAGGTATAAAGAAAGTGAATCTGCTTTTTACGAACAATTTTGGATTATTTTGAAACCTTCAATTACTACAATGAACGGCATATACCTGTATATTTTATTGCATCACCACACTTAAAAATATATGTCTGTGTGTGTGTTATTATGTAATATTAACACGTATGTATAGTTAAAGGACCACTATAGTGCCAGGAAAACATACTCGTTTTCCTGGCACTATAGTGCCCTGAGGGTGCCCCCACCCTCAGGGACCCCCTCCCGCCCGGCTCTGGAAAGGGGAAAGGGGTTAAAACTTACCTTTTTCCAGCGCTGGGCGGGGAGCCCTCCTCCTCCGATCCTCCTCCGTCGGCTGAATGCGCACGCGCGGCAAGAACTGCGCGCGCATTCAGCCAGTCGCATAGGAAAGCATTCACAATGCTTTCCTATGGACGCTGGCGTGCTCTCACTGTGAAAATCACAATGAGAAGCACGCAAGCGCCTCTAGTGGCTGTCAATGAGACAGCCACTAGAGGATTAGGGGGAAGGCTTAACCCATTAATAAACATAGCAGTTTCTCTGAAACTGCTATGTTTATAAAAGAATGGGTTAATCTTAGCTGGACCTGGCACCCAGACCACTTCATTAAGCTGAAGTGGTCTGGGTGCCTAGAGTGGTCCTTTAAATAGGTGGCTTGAGTATCTCAGGTTTAGATACACTAAAGTTAGAATTCAAAGTGAACTTCAAATTTAAGGCCAAAATAGCTGAATTTGAAAAAAAAGAAAATCGCTTATTTATTTGCTGAAGTGATTGATGTGTAAAAAGTTTATCGTCTATTTTCATTTTATAAATAGTGCTGATTTCAATACAAATTGATACTTTTATAAATGAAGGTGCTTACAGCCCTCTGGCTTTTAATCAGACAACTGGTCCCATTACTTCCTGTATTGGTTAGCACAATGGAGCTAAACTCAATAGGCAGCAATTGCTCAGTGCACTTGCCTTGTAAAGACATTTCTCATTGAGCTGCATTGGGAAGTCTGTGATTGGACAGCCACAGGAAGTCTGGGTGTGGTTAGTAGGGGAGGACTTGCAAAGATGCAGACAAGAGAACTGCAGCTTTTGCAAGCTTGTTTTCAATATGCTACCAAAGAAAAAACATAGCTAACAGCATGCCTGTTTGCATTTGGGGTATAGCTACTAAACAGTGTTTTTTATTTGGGTAGTACATTCTAAATTCACTTTGCATTCAACTTGAATTCTCACTTTAGTAAATAACACTGTATATGTCTGATTCTCCAACTGGAAAAAAATAATAATACAAAATGCTGAGATAGCTATTTGATAATGTTATTTTACTTGGTACGAGTGGTGAGAGCACGCCATGCTGTTGGTGTGAAACAATATGTACAAATCGAGGAGTAGATTAGTATGAACAAACACTAAACAGACCTTGAAAACTATATTTTTAAAGCTCGGTTTAATACCCAAGGAATGTACACCATCAAAATGAAAGAATTAGGCAAAAAACAGGGTTATTCACCAAAGTGATAATTCAAGGTGAATTTATCATTTAAAGCATGGGTCGTCAACCTGGTCCCTACCGCCCACTAGTGGGCGTTTCTTTCTGTAGCTCTCACCATTTTCACAAAATAAAATACTAATGGAGAGTCAATTTAACTAAATTTAAAGAGCCAGTATATTACTTTGATCTGCGAATACGGTGGACAACGAATAAGCAAATATTACAAGATGTTTATTAGGGCTACCTAAAATATCAGGAAAGCAATTAAAACCATCTGCTCAGATCCACATTTAGTTTCTCTGTGGTAAAGGAATGTTTAATACACACAAAGGAAAATTGTCCAAAATAGGCACAATAAAATCTGGTTATGGATAGCAGATGTAGCTGCCCACAAGTCAGCATTTGTCCATATGAACTGGAATGGCAAATTATATGAGTTCAGGATGACATATTAACACTCACATACCAAATGGTGTGCCACATAAAGGCCAGATAAAGGCACCATGAATAATCCAAAATGGCAGCCTCCCAAACTCCTCAAACATATGCAAGCAG